TATGAAAAAAATGGGTAGGTAGGGGCAAGCCTGGAGTTAGCAAGAAAGCCACTATCCCAGGGAAGGGGTAAAGGTCCTGAGAGCTGAGATGGGTGGGTAGAGTCCCTGGAGAGGAGCAAGTAGACTGGCTGGCCAGATTTGGAGGTGACCAGCAAGGAGGGGAAGGAGGAAGGAGTGACACCCTACTCTCAGGCGGTTCTAGAGTATCAGCTATGGGAGAGAGGTGGTACCCGATTGGGTGAAGGAGTGGGTACTGCGACTGGAAGGCCGGGGTCCAGTGGGGCCAATGACCAATGTGGAGAAAGGGAATAAGTACTCTGATTGGCAGGCCTGGTGGCCAGGAGGGTGGGACACCACATGGGGGCACCGTGATTCCCAAAGAAAGGAATTCTGGGAAGACAAAAATGATATTGTCACCCACATGCATAGAAAACTAGCACTAAAGGGACAAATCTGATCAACAACCAGAGGTAATGTGGCCTGAAGAGGTGAACTGCCTTTGGGGGTCATTGATTAGTCAGACTGAGGCTGGAATGTGGACACTGGTCTTCTGTGAGTCCTCCCACATGACCCAAGAGAACAGTGGGGGAAGGACAGATCCCATTTTCAAGGTGCTCTTCGTATAAAGATGCCCAATGCCCAGATCAGTACTCAGTCCCCTCTCCAAGGTCAGCACTGGGCAGCGTTGCCCACAGAGCCTGTGTTCGTTTCCTGTTGCTGCTGTGACAGGTGGACCTCATGGGGTTAAACCCAGGCGTTGCAGGGCTGGTCCTTTTGGAGGCTCCAGGGTGAATCGTTTCCGGCCTTTTCCAGCTTCTGGAGGCACCGCATCCCTGGCTCTCGGCCCCTTCCTCCACCTTCACAGCCAGCAGCGCAGCCTCTTCCGTCTCTCTGACTCCCTCTTACGAGGACTCTGCAATGACACTGGGCCCCCAGGGAATCTAGTGTGGTCCCCATCTCAGGGTTCTTGACTTAATCCCAACTGCAAAGTCCCTTACTGTGTGAGATAATGTGTTCATAGGTCCTGCGACCAGGACGGGGATGCCTTTGGGGGCATTATTCTGCCCACCACAGTGCCCAAGTAAAATGCCATTTTTATGGAAGCACCAGAGACACTGTCAGAATTTTTGGATCAAGCAGTCACTGCCTTTTCTGAGCCTTGCTTGGTTCAAAGGCAGATTTTGTAGCTTGATTTTTATCTGCTCTCCACCAGGCCTGCCAACTGCTAGATGAAGTTTCTCTGCCCTTCGAGGAGGGCCACGGCGGGGTCGAGCCGGGGCATGGCTGCACTGTGTGCAGGAGGCTTGGAGAGGAGCATCTGGCCTGGTGGGCTCCTCCTGGGTTTCCTTGTTTGTTTGCAGATACTTGCTGCTGGCTCCCCTCATTCTGGATATTTCTGTGGAGAAACAGTTCCAGTGTGTCCCATTGTCCCCTTTGGTTTTGAGACTTTAACAGTTACCCGCACCAGCTTTCTTCCCACATTCCCGTTTCCAGCATTTCCTCTCTTTCTCTTTCTTAAGTTTTTTTCTTCCTATTTATTTTTTATAACATAAAATTCAGCATCTTAATTATTAAACTCTAACTTCCCTTCCCCCACACCAGCCCCTGACTCCCACCCTCTCCTTTCTGCCTCTATGGATCGGACTCCTAGGGCCTCCTCTGAGGAGACTCACACGGTATTTGCCCTTCAGTGTCTGGCTTCCCTCATTGAACATAATGTCCTCAAGGTTCATCCACATTGTAGCAAGTGTCAGTTTCCTTCCTTTTCATGGCTTAATAATATTCCAGTGTGTGGAGGGGACCACACTGTGTTTATTCATTCACTTGCTGATGGACACTTAGGTTGCTTCCAGCTTTTGGCTATTGTGAATCCTGCTGCTGTGAACACAGTGTGCAAGTACTTGTTTGAGTCCCTGCTTTCAATTCCTTTGGGTATCTACCCGAAAGTGGAATTGCTGAGTCATGTGGTGACTCTGTTTAATTTTGTGAGGAACCACCAAGCTGTTTTCCAGTCAGCTGCCCCATTTCTCATTCCCACAAACAGTGCACAAGCATTAGGTTTCTCCACATCCCCGCCAACACTTGTTATTGTCTGTTTTTTAATAGTAGCTATCCTCCTCGCCTGCATAGCTCAGCAGTTGAGCATCGACCTAGGATCCAGGCGATCGGGGTTCGATTCCCAGTCAGGGCACAGCCCGGGTTGTGGGCTCGATCCCCAATCAGGGGCGTGCAGGAGGCAGCCGATCAATGACTCTCTCATCATTGATGCTTCTATCTCTCTTTCCCTCTCTCTTCCTCTCTCTGAAATCAATAAAGATATATATATTTTTAAAAATAGTAGCTATCCTAATGGTTGTGAAATCTCTCTTTTTTAACTCTTTTCCTTTGTGAGAAGTTTAGGGCTGATGACAAGGTCAGAGGTCACAGTCCCCATGCTAGTTTCTGCAGTAGGCAGACTTCTAAGGCAGTTCCTAAGGTTCTGCTACTGGGGTACACGACCTATATAATCCCTTTCCCGTGAGTGTGAGGAACCACTGAACATGATGCCACGGTCCCTCCCTGAATTAGGTCATGTTAGATGAGCAAAGTGACAGTGTAGCTCCCACGATTCCTTTGCACTGTATAAGACTCGGTCCTAGCTGACTGGAGTCGGTTTCTCCTGGTGGCCTTGACAAAGTCGCTGCCATGTTGTCAGGGGCCCTGTGAGCAGGAGGCCCCTAGGAGCTGAAAGCAGCCCCTGGCCAACAGCCAGAAAGAAAATGGGGACCTTCGTCTTACAATTACAAGAAAACACATTTTGCCAACAATAAGGAGCTCAGAGTGGACCCTTCCCCAGTTGACCCCCTGGATGCGGGTGCAGCCTTGTGAGACGCAGAGCAGGGGACCTAGCTAAAACATGCCAGGATCCTGACTCTCAGAAACCTTGAGATAATCAATGTGCGTTGTTTTAAGCTGCTACACTCACGGTAATTTGTTACAAAGCAATAGCTGACTGACCCACTTTCTCTACATTGGCCCTTCCTCCCTCCTTCCTGCCATGGGGCTTTTTACATAAGTACTTTGTTCTTACTGTATGAACATCTGTTACATCTCTTCCTTCCACTGGGCACTTACTGAATTCTTATTTATCCTTCAGAATTCAGATAACTCATCCCTCCCTCAGAAAGCCTCCTCTGACCCCCTGTCTAGATCCGGGCTCATAGTCCCATGAATGCATCTCATTTTCGAGCCTTTATTGTTGGTATAATTTTAATTTATTTAGGCCTCTGCCAATGAGGCTTAAGCTCTGTGAGCTCAGAGAATCACATCTGCCTCATTCAGGGTTGGGTGCCCAGCACAGGGCAACCAGGTCACAAATGTCAGGCAGATGGAGAACCGAATGAATGGTGCTTCTATATTCGATGCTAAATAGCAGCAGGGCCCCTTCTGTGCCCTAATGATGATGATGACAAGACAACTTAGAGAACACAGGAATCCTTAGAAAACTCACGGGGTTGGGGCAGCAGGGGCAGCTGGGGTTGAATGAACTGTGTGCGTGTGTTTGGGGTGGGGGGACGTCAGTGAGCTCACACACTAAATCTGAGTTTCCAGCCTCAATCACAGAAGTGAATCTTGGTGTCTTTGTCCCTAAAACATTTCATCAAGTAATTCTTAGAGATTCTTGGCTCCTCAGCAGGCAGTTCAGCTCAAGTGTGAGAATAAAGGGACGAGTGTTATGCAGCCTCGCTCCCCGCCAGCCCCGGGCCCCCCGCCCCCACGCATCTCCCCTTTCTCATCAGCTCTGGATGGTGGCCGTGCAAAAGACCACATTACAGAAAGTCTTCTGCATTACTCAGTATCTAACAATTTAAATGTTAATCTCATTTAAAAATTACCGTCACAGCAACATCTAGAATAACGTCTCACCAAACAACAGGGCACCATAGCCTAGCAAAGTGGACACACACAATCAGCCATCCCAGGGACATACTTATGCCATAGAAGTAAGTGTTGTTTATATGAAATTCAAGTTTAATGGGGTGTCCTGTATTTTATCTGACACCCAGGCCTGCCATTCAACCCTAAGAGCCTCCAAAGCAACTCCATCACCTTCAGGGAAGCCCCCAGCCAAGTGGCATCTTTATGGAGCCCTGTCAAGGAAAATAGGATAGGATTGTCACCTATCCTGATGGGGAAAAGTGTGTCAGAGTCCAGGGATGAATCCTCTCCACCCACACGGTGAAGGCANCCAGCTTTCTTCTCTGTGGTTTTCTGATGGGGAAAAGTGTGTCAGAGTCCAGGGATGAATCCTCTCCACCCACACGGTGAAGGCAGCTTGCCGGGAGCCGAGGGAAGGGGAGGTAATGAGAGCCGCCTCTGCAGAAGGCGCGGAGGTGATTCAGCCCCTGTGGAGAGAAAGGCTCCTCTGTGGGCTGAGAATGCGGTGGGTTTGGAGTAAAGGTCTGCTCAGGTCTCGGGCACCTAAGAGAATTATCCAGTGGGGGGCTGTTCAAGGCTCTGTCTTAGGGCTCTTCTAGTCGCAAGTGGCAGAAACCAACTGCCCTATGTAAAAAAGAGAATTTGTTGGCTCTTGACAAAAAGTTTCAGAGGCAAAAGTGTCAGGGCTCAGCCCGTCACCACCTCTCAGCTCTGCTTTCTGGGCACCGAGACCCTGGAGCCTCCAGAAGAATCATAGCCCTCTTTTTGAGACTTCTGACCTCCAGCACGTCATGGTAATAAGCCTGTACTCCTTTAAGCCTCTAGGTTTGTGGCCATGTGTTACAGCAGCCCCAGGATACTCACACATTCTTTCCAGCAAGGCACCCCAGCGGCCCCGGGGAGCATATTGAATCCGTGTTTTAGGACTTTTTTGAGTGTAGCCTGCTGGTGCCTAGGGCACTGTTGACAGCTGTCACATCTGCACAAGATGGCTTAGGGGAAGAGAAACGCTCTCCAGCGCTGATCATTTTTCTGCCCCTTTTTCGATGGCATCCAGGTGGCTGGCTGGGCGTCTGGGAGCCATGGAGCCCACTGCTGGTGAATTACAGCTTGTGCCCAGGACGACAAAAGAAGTCCCTGCGTGCTTCCGAGTGGCCCTCTCTGCAGTGGTGGCCACCAGCATCGTCATCCTCACCCTGGCAGTCCTTGTGGGTAAGTGGCTGAGGGCTCACACGGCTTCATACACTGGGTGGCTTGCACCGCAGCGCTCAGGCATGGCTCAGCGGTGTCCTTGTGATGACCCCAGACAGAGGGCTGAGTGTGCCCACATGGACCTGAAGGCTGCCCTTCAGGCCGCCAGGGGATAAGACGAGCAGACCGGGGGCCTGGGCACATGCTCTGGGGTGGGTGGCGTGTGGGCAGGCAAGTTAATACCTACGTATTTTGGTTGCCCACAGCCGGGATCTCCAAGGAAGTTTTCACAGCCGGGGTGAAATGGAGACAAATAGGGACAGGGAAGTGAACTTTTTAAGAGTCTTGAGAAATTTGAGAAGTATTAAAAAATGAATAATTGTCTATATTCCCACAACACAATGATTTCCATTTCATGTTTGTTCCCAGTAAATATTCATAGAATTTAAGATGAAACATGCACTCAGAGGGGGTGGGGGTGGGGAGAGATTAACCAAAGAACTTATATGTGTATGTGCGTAACCCATGGACACAGACAATAGTGTGGGGAAGGCCTGGGGGGGGAGGCCGGAGTAGGAGATAGGAGTCAGTGGGGGAAAAAGGGACATTTGTAATACTTTTAACAATAAAGATAACTTTTTTTTAAAAACATGCAAAATGATGACCCATCTATACAGTGTGGGACTGCAGTTATAAAATAAAGTTCTTATGTTTCAGTAGAATCTCCACAGGCCCCTGCACACTGTGCCGCATTCCAGTGTCGTCCTACATTTGTGCTGTCCATGATGGTAGCCCTGAGCCCTAGTGGATATTTAGAGTTAAATCCATTAAAATGAAGTAACTTTTAAAATTAAATTCCTCAGTCCCCACCAGCCACATTCCACGGGTGCTCGTGGCTATTGTACTGGACAGCACAGATCTAGAACATGCTGACATGTCGGGAAGTTTTGTGGCTTATCCTGAGATGATAAGGTTCTTACAGTGTTATTTGGGGATGTGAAAGTCACCCTACTTTCATGAAATGATAATAACATGTAGTAGTTTGCAGGAAAATGCTCAAAGATCTCATGTGGCAAAATAATAAATTGGCACCCTAGCCTGTTTGGCTCAGTGGTTAGAGTGTCGGCCCTTGGACTGAAGGGTCCCAGGTTCGATTCCAGCCAAGGGCACGAACCTTGGTTGCGGGCTCCATCCCTGACCCCGGTCAGGGAACGTGCAGGAGGCAACCGATCGATGTGACACTCTCACATCAATGTTTCTCTCTCTCCCTCTCTCTCCCTTCCACTCTCTCTAAAAAGCAGTGGCAAAAAATATCCTCAGGTGAAGATTAAAATAGTAATAATAAGTTGGCAATCCTATGTGGGTCCCCCTAATTTAAAAAAATATATATTTGTGGAACATCAGGAGTATCTCACAGCTGGACATAGCTCACCAAGGCCCCTAGTGGCTCTGGGCATCAAGTGCAGGAAAACTGGACTCGTGCATGCATGTACACGTGTGTGTGAGTGTGCATGTATGCACATGCACGAGTGTGTATATATGTGTGAGAGTGTGCACATGTGTGTGGGTATCCTTGCACCAGGAAGAGGTGGGAGCAGGGTTTCACACCTTTATTCTAGAAGCACAGATACATTTGTGATCAAGAGATAACATAATCCCCAGCAGAACCCCTGAAACCAAGGAAGGCTTGGCTTTAAGGAGTACTTAAAATTTAAAAAAATTTTTTTAAAGTTTTAAAGTTAAAATGAAAATGTATCCCTTTGCCCTTTAGGACAGCTTGCAAGTTAGCCTTGTGGGGACCTGGAGGAGGTGCTGGGACCTCTCTGCTGTCTCCAGCTTCCTGAGATCCTGTGACTATATATCCAAGGGAAACTGAAAGGCTTAGTGAGATACAGAGCATAAGCAATTTTGTGTACACAATAGGATGCTTGTTTTTCTTTATTTTTAATTTCTTGAGAGACAAACCTAAAAGCAAAATTTTTAGAATTGGTTTAGAATATTTGTTTTATCTACTGAATATACAAATATCTAAATATCTGTCTAGATGAATATTCATTCAGAAGAAACAGAATTGGGACCTAGCTTTCATGGTTTATGTGGCTGCTGCTATTTTTTTTTTAATTTTTGCAATTATGATCATTTTTTGCTAGTGTGTCCTTTTGACAGTTCCAACATATTTTCCACAGTTAAAAACCCGTGTTTTCATGGTTTACATGGTTGCTACTGTATTCTGTATTTAAAATTTTATAACTATCATTCCTTGGTAGTGTGTACTTTCAACAAAGTTTCTGACAGTTGGAAACCCACGTGTTTTCAGAGGGTAGCGTCCAGGACCCTGGTCCGAGGGTCCTGATGCCCGTGGCTGTGGTCATGCCCTTACAGCATTTGGTGTCCCCTTCCTCGGGAGCAGGTGGGATTGTGGTTCCAAAGTGGAGGGAAGGTATCCTGAGGTCATTTCAGTCATTTTTGGCTGAAGTCGGCCTCAGGGCCTGGCCAGGCACATCCAGTGAGACAAGGAAAACTGGGAGTTAGTCCTGCCCTCGAGCAAAGCCTGGGGATCTGAGGCTTTGTGCTGTACCCGGGGCCTCCAGGTGGGTGATATGGGAGCTGAAAACGAGGCACTGTTAATAATCACTTAGGACAGCCCTGGGGAGTCAGCCCACCTACCAGTCTGTCAGGGGACCCGGCCCCTGGGTGGTGGGGACCTTTGAGGCCCCTCAGCTGAGCCCCACAGTGGGCTCGCTCACAGAGCCCTGGTCTTGCCCGCAGCCTCCCTCTCTACACAGGGCGTCGATGTGGAGCACACGGCCGAGCTGCACGGAATCCGGTACGCCCGCAGCCTGCAGCAGGCGGCCTCGGACTACTACTGCGCGCTGACGCCCACCCTGGAAACGCTGGTGAGGGGCACCTGGGAGCAAGGGCGCGGGGGCGGCCAAGAGCTTCCCCAGGAGGCGCTCTCATGCTGAGTGAGCTCAGCAGGGGGAGGGCCAGGTGGGCCCAGGGCAGAGAGACGCACATGGGGGAGTGCGGCAAGGCCTGTGTGGCCAAGGCTGGTGCTTGTAGAATGCAGCGAGAATGGTGTCCAATGGGAAATGACCCCTGCAGGGCTTGTGGGCCACATTTAAAGGTTGTAAATTGTCTTCTGGTGGAGAAATAAGAACCCTCATACACGCTGGTGGGAATGGGAAATGGGGCAGCCGCTGGGGAAAAAAGTTAGCTGTTCATCAAAAGGTTAAGTATAGAGTCATCCTATGACCCAGCAATTAATTCTGCTTCTGAGTATCCACCCAAGAGAAATGAAAACATATGTCCACACAGAAACCTGCACATGCATGTTCATAGCAGGAGTCACAATGGTCCAAAAGTGGAAGCAACTCGTGTCCATCAGCTGATGAATGGATACACATTGTGGTCCCTACACACACTGGAATATTACTCAGCCGTGAAGAAGAGCGAGTCACTGACACTCTTTAGAGTGTGGATGGACCTTGAACACATGGTGCTCAGTGAATCAAGTATCCATTTTAAAATTTAAGCATGAATTAATTAAAATTAACTAAAATGGTCCTGGTTGGTGCTGCTCAGTGGTTAGAGCATCGATCACAGACCAAAGAGTCGCCAGCTTGATTCCTGGTCAAGGACACATACCTGGGTTGCAGATTTTATCTCAGCCCAGTCTGGGCACATACTGGAGGCAACCAATCGATGTGTCTCACTCACATTGATGTTTCTCTCTCTCTTCCTCCCTACCACCCTCCCTCTTCCTCCCTTCTTCCCTTCTTCCCTTCTAGTCTTTCTGAAGATCAATGGAAAAAAATATCCTTGAGTGAGGATTAACAAAATAAAAAAGTTAATTAAAATGTCAAAATCAATTCCCCAGTAGCACCGACCACGTTTCAAATGCTTGGTAGCCACGTGTGGATGGGGGCTGCCATATGGGGTGGGGTAGATGTAGAACATTCTGGGACTTTGTGGAATTTTCTATGGGACAGTGCAGGTATAGATGCAGGCAATGAGGACATGGACTGGTGAGTCCATCACCCCAAAATAAACCCTGTCCCCACCAACAATCACTCATTACCCACCTCTGCTTCTAGTCCCTGGCAACCACTAACCCACTTTGTGTAGATTTATCTGTTCTGACCATGTCACCTAAATGGAATCACACACTGTGTGGCCTTTTTGTGTCTGGCTTCTTTCCTTGAGCATCACGTTTACAAGGTCCATCCATGTTGTAGCAAGTGTCGGTACTTCGCTCCTTTTCATGGCTGAGTAATATTCCAGTGTGTGGATGGACCCATTTTATCCATCCTTCAGTGGAGCAATATTTTCATATTAATAACTTTGAAATGCCCTTCCCTGTCATTATTTGGCTCTGTGAAGTCGCTGCGTGCATTGGGTCTAAGAGGAGGTGCTTTTCTATTCCCCTTCCCCAGCTTCCTCAGGGTGCCCGTGCTGTGGTCTCAATATCTGCTGCTGTTGTTTCCGTTGTAGTTTGTAAGCAGCTTTAGGAAGACAGAATTGGAGGCCAGCTGCGTGGGCTGCACGGTGCTAAGTTACAGGTGAGCTGGGACCTCTTTGGGGCTAAAGGAAACTTGATGGACACCTGAGATGCTGGAAGATTCCTGGGAGAGGGACCCTCCCTCCACAGGCCTCTCTCCTACCTGCAGGGATGGGAACTCCAGTGTCCTGGTGCGTTTCCGGCTCCACTTTCTGCTACTAGTCCTGCAGTCACTGGACCTGGGCCTGGAGCAGGAGCTGTTGCAGCAGGGACTCCGAGAGAGGCTACAGGGCCACGGCATCCCCCTGGCTGCCCATGGCACCATTGTGTCTGCCGAGCTCACAGGCAAGTAGGCAGTGGAGACCTCAGACACTGAGAAGCAGGGGGGAAGTGCTGTGGGAGGGGAGCATTAAATTTTAGGTTTTCAATAATCACCCCTCCCATGATAAGAAAACACATGCGTACTGCTTCACAGTTAATGGTATGGACCAGGTGTCAGCAATCTGTAAAAGGCCAGAGTATAAATATTTTCATCTTTGGAGTCCACCACTAGACTCTGCTATAGTAACACAAAAACAGCCCAAGATAATGTCTAACTGAATGGACACAGCTGTGTATCAATAAAACTTTATTTACAAAAACAAGTGGTGGGTCAGATTTGGCCCACGACTGGAGTTTGCTGACCCCTGGTGTAGAAATGAGATAAATGCTAAATTCTAAAATCTGAGGATGCATCAGACTATCAGTTTAAAGATTGATCACCTTGCCCTTGCCCTTGCCCTTGCCCTTGCCCTTGCCCTTGCCCTTGCCCTTGCCCTTGCCCTTGCCCTTGCCCTTGCCCTACAGGACATTTATGGTCTCCTCCCCACCATCCCTGACACACCAGTTGAGTCTTAGTGGTCTGGACATCATCACTGCCTAATAGAGTTTTCCGTGGTGGTGGAAGTGTTTCATGACTGTGCTGTCCGCTATGGTAGCCACCAGGTGGCTATTGAACACCTGTCCTGCGGCCGGTGAGACTGAGAAACACTGTTCCATTTGGTTTCATCTTAATTGATTTAAGTTAGACTTTTAAGTGGCTCCTGCAGTGGATAGCACCGTCCTCTGCTTTGCAATTCCATGTTTTCAGAGTGTCACTGCTCACTGAATGAGCTGATATCTCCTCTCCATTTTACTGCAGGAAGCCAGAAGGGGCCACTGACAGAAAGAGACTTGAAATCAGGTATGTTTTCAAGCGCCCTTCCCTGAGCTCCCTGCCCTCTGTCAGGCTTCATCTGATTGTGGGCACTGTGAGAGGGCTCCTAAGACAGTTCCAGTGCACAAAGGAAAGGGCTGCACACGGCGAATGCTAGTTCTGTGCACCAGCCTCCTACAAGAGATGGATTTGCAGCCCTGTGTGCACACAATGTTTACAGATGAAGCACTTTGTTATAACACTAGTCATGGGGATGTAAAGTACAACATAGGGAATACAGTCAGCAATATTGTAATAACTGTGTAGTGCCGGGGGTACTAGGCTTATGGGGGGATCGCTTTGTGAGGTATATAAATGTCTAACTATGCTGTACACCTGAAGCTAATATAATACTGTATGTCAACTGTAATTGAAAAATAAATTTTAAAAAATTTTAAATAAAGATGAGGCACTTTGTATTACACATAGCCAAGCATTATTATTATTTTTTTTTAAATAATATCTTTATTGATTTCAGAGAGAGGAAAGCAGAGGGAGAGAGAGATAGAAACATCAATGATGAGAGTCATTGATCGGCTGCCTCCTGCATGCCCCCGACCAGGAATCGAGCCCGCAACCCCGGGCATGTGCCCTGACCGGGAATCGAACCACAATCTCCTGGATCCTAGGTCGACACTCAACCACTGAGCCACGCCCGGCCAGGCCAAGCATTATTAAGAGAAAACGTTGCTGGGTCTGGGGTTTTTTGGTTTTTTTTTTAAAGTGATGGAGCCCGGCTGGGCGTGGCTCGGTGGTTGAGCATCTACCTAAGATCCAGGAGATCGAGGTTTGATTCCCAGTCAGGGCACATGCCTGGGTTGCAGGCTCGATCCCTGGTCAGGGGCGTGCAGGAGGCAGCCAATCAATAACTGTCTCATCATTGATGGTTTTTTCTCTCTCTCTCCCTCTCCTTTCCTCTCTCTAAAATCAATAAAGATATATTTAAAAAATAAATAAATAAAAAATAAAGTTATGGAAACCTGTTGCTAAAAGAAAAATCAAACAAACAATTTGGGGGAAAAAGAAAAAAAAGTGCCACCTGGAGCCTCTTTGCTTTTAATATTTTAGTGACTATCCTTCCAGACTGCTCAAGTCACACATATAGATACATTTATTTAGCTTCCTTAACTAGGGGAGACTCTGCCCCAGGGGACACTGGGTGATGTCTGGAAAGATCTGTAGTTGTCACAAATTGGGGTGCTCCTGGCATCAAGTGGGTGGGGCCAGAGATGCTGCTCACATCCCTCCCAATGGTGTCCAGGACAGGCCCCCACAAAGTGTGACCAGGCCCCGAGGTGAACCATGCACATAAAATGGTTAAAATGGGAAGTTTTATGTTGTGTATTTAACCACAATCAAGAATTTTAAATGTCACCTCTCTCTTTCTTTTTTTAAACGTGGCTCCTAGAAACGTGGAATTACATACATGGGCGCATACACTCCTGTAGCCCAGCGCTGGCCTCGGTGCACTGACATTCTCTGTTGTCTCCATGCTGATTTTGAGAAAGTCATTTCAGAAATACTCAGAGATGAGCAAGTGGATAGATGTCCATGCTGGAGGTTCTGAGCAGAACGTGGAATCTTGCTGCAGCCAGGAAAGATGCAGTGAGGTCAGGAACTCGTTTTCTCTGCCCTCAGGTCACTGTCCAGGGCATGCCTTCTCCTGCAGGAACAGCCAGTGTGTGACCAAAGTGAACCCGGAGTGTGATGACAAAGTGGACTGCTCCGACGGATCTGATGAGGCCCACTGTGGTCAGTCCGCGCGTCTGGCCTGGTCTTGGGTGTCCCCTTCCCAGGGCCGGCTGCTGTTTGTGCTCTCTGGCCCACTTTGCACAGTAACGCCAAGTGTGGGACCCTGAGCATGTCCTTAAATGTGGGGGCTGTGGGGATGAGAGACTCAGAGACGGGTGTACCAGGAACATGGCACAGTCCTGCCTTCTTGGGGTCCCGATTGGTGATCTGTCTTGCAGACTGCGGTTTGCAGCCCGGCTGGAGGACAGCTGGCAGGATTGTGGGCGGCGTAGAAGCTTCCCCGGGGGAGTTCCCTTGGCAAGTCAGCCTCCGAGAAAACAATGAGCACTTCTGTGGGGCCACCGTCATCGGGGCCAGGTGGCTGGTGTCTGCTGCCCACTGCTTCAACGAGTGAGCCCGAGGCCCTGAGGCTTGGACCCTCCCCCGTCCCTGTACCCCACCTTCCCTTCCACCCTGGAGTCCCCACTTCTCCTGGCTGTCCTTAGAGCACGTTGGGACTTGTTTGTTCTTTTCTTCTCTTCTTTTTTGGTTGAATCTGAATGCATTCTTTTTTTAAAATTATTTTTTTAGCCTGGCCTGGTGGCTCTGTTGGTTGGAGCATCATCCCCTACACCAAAAGGTTGCGGGTTCGATTCTCAGTCAGAGCTCATACATAGGTTGCGGGTTCGATCCCTGGTCAGGGCACATACGGGAGGAAACGTATCCTTGGGTGAGGATTTAAAAAAATGTTTTAAAAATTGTGGTAAAATATACATAACATAAATTTACCATTTTAACCGTTACAGTTAGGTAGATGGCATTATGCACATTCACACTGTCATCCCCACTGTTCATCTCCAGACTTCCATCTTCCTGAACCGAAACTCTGTCCCCGTTAAGCACTAACTCCCTCTCCAGCCCCTGGCTCCCACCATCTACTCTCTGTCTACGCATCTGACTCTTCTAGGGACCTCCTATGAGTGGAATCACACAGTATTGGTCCTTCTGTGTCTGGCTTATTTCACTGAGCATAATGTCCTCAAGGTTGTAGCAGGTATCAGAATGTCCCTCATTTTCTTTTTTTTAAAAATATATCTTTATTGATTTCAGAGAGAGGAAAGGAGAGAGAGAGAGAGAGAGAGAAACATCAATGATGAGAGAGTCATTGATCGGCTGCCACCTGCTTGCCCCCTACTGGGGATTGAGCCTGCAGCCGGGGCATGTGCCCTGACTGGGAATCGAACCCTGATCTCCTGGATCCCAGGTCGATGCTCAACCGCTGAGCCACGCCCGGCTGGGCATCAAGACTGAATAATATTCCATTGCGCATATATATATATATATGCATAATATTTTGTGCTCCTCAACATTTCTCACCCTAACTCAGACCTGTTGGATTCTGTCTTTGTTTAAAATGCTTCTAATTCTCACACCATGGATTTTTCTTGCATTCATTATGCTTTCTGACCATGTTGCTTGAAACTGTCAGTCTTGAGGACTGAGCTTTGGGGCACCCCTTAACATTTGCCCCCAGAGATGCCTCCCTCTCCTAACCCCCGCTCTTCAGCCCTATCCACAGGAGCCTCTGAACTGCCATTTGTTTGTCCTGCAGGTTCCAAAACCCCACGGAGTGGGTGGCCTATGCTGGCACAACCCAGCTCAGCGGCTCGGAGGCCAGCACGGTGAAGGCCCGCGTGGCGCAGATCATCACGCACCCCTCCTATAACCCCGACACAGCCGACTTCGACGTGGCGGTGCTGCAGCTGGGCAGCCCCCTGCCCTTCAGCAGGCACGTCCAGCCCGTGTGCCTGCCGGCCGCCACGCACGTCTTCCCGCCCAGGAGGAAGTGCCTGATCTCGGGCTGGGGCTACCTCAAGGAGGACTTCCGTAAGCACCCCGCCGGCGGCCAGGAGCAGATACGGCCACATGCCCTTCTTATCCGGATTCCCTCTTTGGGAATTCACCCACTTGCTAACACTTGGGACCTCAAGTGGATACAGATGGGAATTTTGTGCTCATTTGCAGATATGCACAGAGCAGTGAAAAATCTGAGTTGAGGACAAGCATGCTCTCATTTAAGGTGGGACAGGTGATGCCCTACCTTCTTGTTTCAGCCCAGACTGTAAACTAGGGTCCTTTCCATGGACATTTGCAATTGATTTCATGGTATATTTATTGCCATGTTTTTGGGTGGTTTTTGTCTGTTTGCTTTTTTATGCTTTTTGTGGCTGATTTTGCTGCCTCCCAAGCACAGAGCTGACGTGCTGGCTAGTGTAGCAGAGTGCAAGAAGGCTGCCACGTGCCTTCGGGAGAAAGTGTGTGTTAGATCAACTTCCTTCAGGCTTAGAGTTCGGTGTTAATGAATTGACACTGTTCTGATCAGGAGACAAAGGCAAAGGGTATTTATGAGACAGGGAAGGGGAATAATCACATCCATAGAAGGAAGGTATTGCTATTGGTGCAGGTAATGTAACATAGTGATATTTATTCTAAATGTTTTAAATTTTCAGTCAGTAGCTATCAGCCCAGTAGTCATAATATCTGCTTTCTTGTTATCTTTGCAAACAGTTCTTTGGGACACAAGGTTTCCGTAGGCCCAGTCCAAAGGTTATTTTGCCTTGTGTTTTTTTTTATGTACCAATAAAGCTTTGTTTATAAAAACAAGCAGTGAAAATTCAATCAAAAACAAGCAGTGAGTGTATCTAGCCTGAGAGATATAGCTTGCTGACTCCTGCTCTAAATTGCAGTGAAGTTAGTGGGAATAAAGATATTTCACATGGTTATTTTGCCATTTTTACATTCCAGGGTTTGATGTATAAGATGTACAAGTCAGTTCTTCTGGGGTGGCAACTCGGGCTCTATTTTAAAGCAGCTCTGTTTTTTTTTGACAAATGTATATTAAATAAGGTGTTTTTAAACAGAAACATACATAACACAAGGTTATGTGTCAATTACTTGAGGAAAATGTTGTGATGAATCTCACAGGAACCTGACCTTGCATTTCCTCAGGAACAGTAGTTTCATATTCACTAATCCAGGGTTTGTGGCAACTTTTGAGAACTGAACTGCCTGAAATAATGAGAATTGATTGTGCCTGGATGGTGATAGGTGCTGAGGCTGCAAGAAAAATGAATTGGTGGTGGGAGGGACAGGTTTAGGAAAGGCCCAGGAAGGTGACACCTCAGCTAAGACCTGACTGATGAGCCAAACCCAGGCAGTCAGGGGACAGGAAAAAGTCCCATCATTGAGGAAAGTTCTCTTGGACAATGCTGATCTAGAACATTCTAGAGCTACAGTGTCCAATACAGTAGCCACTAGCCTCAGTCCAGTTCAGTAGGTATATAGTTTTTTGTAGATAGTGCCTGTCAATGACTCGAGCCTGGGGGTGGGGGGTCCTTGTACAGGAAGCCCTAGGGCTCCCCGAGTTCAGGGACTGAGAATCAGACACAGCCGACCTTCTTAACAGGGCCCACTGGCCTGTGTTTTGGGCTTTTCTCAGATCTGTGCCTGCCTGAGAACAAAGCAAAATCCTAGAAGATTAGGATTTTTGTGATAAGGAAAGATATTTGCCACAAGAACCTAATCAGGAGGGAAAGTAGTTGATGATTAAACTCAATCAACAAACATTTGAATCCCTCCAGCTCACTTTTCCGGGACTAGGCAGGAAGCAAAACAGACAAATCCCCGCCCAAGTGGAGCTCACAGCCCAGACCAGCGCCGTCCAGCAGAACTTTCCTTGGTGACGATGTGCTCTGTGCCGGGGCCTCCACTACAGGAGCCGCCAGCCCCATGCAACGTGGCCAGTGCAACCGAGAAACTGAGCTTTACATTTTATTTCATTTGCGTGCATCTAAATCTACGTTTAAATAGTCACGTGTGGTCACTGGCTACTGTACTGGAAGCGGCAATTCTAGGGGCAGTAAATACTAAACAAGATAAGTGATAGATGGCGATAAAAGCAGTGGAGAAAAGAAGCGAGGATGGGGATGTGAGGGGGGCTGCAATTTTAAATAGGTCAGGCGAGGCCTCCCGGAGAAGATGAAGAAGGCAAGCAGATTCCTCGGGGACGATCATGCTAGGCACCTGGAACAGGATGTACGAAGGCCCTGGGGTAGGTGGTCTAGTCTTGGGCATTTAGGCTGAGCCAGGGGGAACACACCCTCTAGGGTTTGAGGCTAAAAAAGTATATAATCTGATTTAGTGTTTAGCCAACATGGCACTGGCTGCTGGGCTAAGAAAAGATTCCAGCAGGTAGGACTAGAGTAACAGCAGCTATAGGTAAAGGGAACAGGGATGTGGAGCCCAGTCTTGGGATGTTAACCTGGATACCTCTTAGCTGTCCAGGTGGAGAGTGTTATTAGTGGGTATTTGTAAAGCATTTACTCTTTGCTAGTTTCTGAGGCTGGTGCTGCAGCATCTCTGCTTGCAGCTGGGGAAATCGAGGCACAAAGAAGAGATGTTCTTCAGTGTTCCGGCTCAGGGTGACTGCCCGGGGCCCTGGAATGCTCACCCCACTTGTCTCTCCCATCCCGGGCAGTGATCAAGCCGGAGATGCTGCAGAAAGCCACCGTGGAGCTGCTGGACCAGGCCTTATGTGCCAGCCTGTACGGCAGCTCACTCACGGACCGGATGGTGTGTGCCGGCTACCTGGATGGCAAGGTGGATTCTTGCCAGGTGAGCCCCGGTGCCCACAGGGACCCCAGATAACACACCACCCAAGGAGGCCAGCTATAAAAGTCCCCCAGGTTTCCACCCCGTGCCCCCCCCCAGAAGGGGGAGTCCTCACAGTTTCTGGTCCCTCTCCAGGATGTCCCCTGCTTGATTTTTAGCACAACTGGATTTCCTTCTTTGTAGTTTATATTTTTGCTCTCATTTCTAAAGCCTGGTGGGTGAGGAGAGACTGCTACATGTGCTCAGGTTGCCATATCAAAACAGGGACCTGGAGGAAATGGGAAATAGTAAGAGTTCACTGGTGTTGGTTGGAGACTTGATTTAGGGTGGTGAACATACAATAAATACAGTGTACACACGGTGTGTTGTAGAATTGTGCACTTGAAACCTTACAATTTTATTAACCAGTATCACCTCAATAAATTCAATAAAAAAATAAAATGTGCCCTGGCCAGGTAGTTGAGTTGGTTAGAGCATCGTCCCAATACACTGAGGTTTCGGGTTCGATTGCATAACTAAGTGGAATTTATCTCTCCCTCTCTTTTTCTTTCTCTCTCCCTTCTCTCTCTCTAAAAATCAACAAATTAAAATTAAAAATTAAATGGGGAAAAAATGAGAGAACGCTTGTGTTTGAGAATGTAAGAGTCAAGGTGAGCTGGGTGTGAGGAGAAAGCAAAGGACCACAAGACAGGATAAGTGAGGGCAGATCAGCCACTTCAGGAGAATGCCACAGCAGCCAGTGAGCTGTCTGGAGGCCCCAGCAGGGCAGCCATACTGTCAACCTAAACAAGAGGTGACATTGCCAAAGATCTAGTGAGATTAGGAAGGGAGGGGATGTTGCTGATTGGGGTGGGTTTTTAACTGCTAGTGGTACAACTGAAAGAGATCTTAAAGGTCCCATAGTCCAACTGTCCTATTTTAATTTTACAAAAGAGGAAACTGAGGTTCTGAGGTGTGAATTCTCAGCCCACATTTTCTTCTGAGCTTGTGTGGGGAGAGGTCACCATCCTGGCAACGTTCTCTGACCCTGCAGCTCTGGGACTTGCATTGGCTGAGGCCAGGGAGGCCTGACCCCTCCTGAGGGTATGCCTTTGTCTCTTAGGGTGACTCAGGAGGCCCCCTGGTCTGCGAGGAGCCCTCTGGAAGGTTCTTCTTGGCCGGCATCGTGAGCTGGGGCATTGGTTGTGCCGAAGCCCGGCGTCCCGGGGTCTATGCCCGAGTGACCAGGCTGCGAGACTGGATCCTGGAGGCAATTGCCATGGCAAGCAAGCCTCCGGTTCCCACGGTGGCTCCTGCCCCCGCCACCCCCAGCACTGCCTGGCCCACCAGCCCCAACAGCGGGGTGGTCAACACCCCCACCAAACCCACAGTGGCCCCCAGCTCTGCACCTCTTGACTCAGTGACCGCCTCTAAGCCACAAGGTATTTCCTGGGGAGACAGGCAGAAGTAGGCATCTGCTCGCTGCAGGGTCGGATCGATTGGTACTGGCTTCCTGAAGCGTCCGTGGGAAAGAGATTGATCAGTGATGATGGTGATTGATCAGTGATGTCTGTCACGAGCACAGGCTAACACACCCACGTGGCATCCTTCAGATTTACAGCCTGGCAGTCATGCAGTCCAATAGGGTAAACACAGAACACCCCAAAGGGTCAACAACAGGCTAGTGACCATGACTGTGGAACCAGGGTGGGAGAGAGACTAAGTTTTCATATATGGGGCCCTTCCAGAAACACCACTTACATTCAGCGCATAATGGACATTTTAATATCCAAGAACTCTCACTTCATTTTTCAAAATTTTCCTAGACATGCTTGCAGGCTTCTTTTCCCGTGTAAGATCAGTTTATCTGGGTTTTTACTTTTATTTCATTTTTAATTGTGGTGACACACACAACATAAAATCAACTGTAGTAAACATTTTTGAGCACCCGGTTCATTAGTTAAGACTATTCGCCTTGTGGGCCTTGGTCTTGAAACACACTCTACATCTGTCTTCACTTTGTGGCTTCCAAGGACCCAGATCTGATATTGATTCTCCTTTAGGTCCCACAAACCTACTATGCTCTGAGCCCATCAAAACTCTGCTTCACAAAAATGTCCCCCACACCCCACCCCGTCCCAAGATCCCACAATAACCTGACTCCACCCCCGCCAAACCATGGTTTTGATGTGCTGGCCCCCGCCTTACAGCGAGCTCATAAACCTCGCCTTGGGAGCTCTGGATCTGTCTGGTGGGGCTTAGTCTGATGGGACCAGGGCCCTCTATAATTTTATCTTCTCATTTTTAACCTATCCCCCCTGGCTGTGCCACATACTTGCTACCAGACCTTAGGACACTTGGGCACCTTTAAGCCTCGGCTTATTCATCTGTATAATGGGATGATTTGCCCTTGCCCAGTCAGAGCCAGGAGGCTGCGCCCTGGTGTCCGAGGCCTCTCCGGGCCCAGGTGCTCCCACTTCTGAGCTAAGGCGCCTGGGCCCTCTTCCCTTCCCTCATAGAGTGCGGCGCCAGACCAGCCATGGAGAAGCCCACCCGGATCGTGGGCGGGTTCGGAGCCGCCGCTGGGGAGGTGCCCTGGCAGGTCAGCCTCAAGGAGGGTTCCAGGCACTTCTGTGGAGCGACTGTGGTGGGGGACCGCTGGCTGCTATCTGCGGCCCACTGCTTCAACCAGTAAGACCAGCCTCGGCCCAGGAGGACTGCTCAGCTCGCCCCATCATCACTGGGCCCCCTTCCCTCCAGCCCTATCAAATCCCCAAGCGTTCAGAAACCACTTATGACCAAACCTGTGGCCATCTGTGCACTAGGGTCGCCACGGCAGAGCCCTCCCAACATGGCCCCCACCCCACCCCGGGCTCACAATCCTAATGTCTGGATGTCCCAATGCAAATGAGAGGGGGGAACATGAAGAAGTAGGGTGCTGTGGGGGAGCCATCTCAAGGGCCCGAGCCTGGGCTGCAGCTTCTGTCAAGCTGGTCTTTGTGGAACAAATAGGGGCTACCTGGGGAGGGGACAAGGGCTCCTTCCCTTGCACTGCTCAGCCGGGCAGCATTGACCTTTGAGAGCCATAAAACTGCAGGGGCCTCTCAGGCGGCTGGGCCAACTCCTCATTCCAGACAAGGAAATGAGGCCCATTTCCCTGCCTTGCCCCCTGTCCCCCAGCCTGGGGCTGTTTTGGGGGAGCAGCCGTGTGGCCCCTCCACCCTCCTGGTGCCCCCCACCCACCCCGAGCCTGGGCCCTGCCGCCCTGCCTGGCTTCCTGGGGGCAGCAGGTGTGTCTGAGTGGCCCCTTGTTGGCAGCACGAAGGTGGAGCTGGTGCAGGCCCACCTGGGTACTGTCTCTCTCATGGGCATCGGCGGGAGCCCGGTGAAGATGGGGCTCAAAAGGAC